CAATAATATGAATATCTACTATGTGACAAGGTGTATGGTTCACCTGCCTGGATGCTTCCCCCTCTGCCTTTCACAGGAGAAAGGATATGGCATTTCAGGAGTAAGTAGAACTCTGCCAGCCACATATCTTTTTCCATGCATATGTGTAACAAGCCCTTAAAGCCTCTACCTCTTACAACAGAACTTTTGCCCTCCATCCTATTCAACCGAACAGAGTAGAAAATCCAAAATGGTTTGGATTGGAAGGGACCTTAAACGTCATCCAGTTCCAACACCCTGCCATGGGCAGAGACACCTTCCACTATCCCAGGTTGCTCAGAGCCCCATCCAGCCTGGCCTTGAACCCTTCCAGGGATGGGGCAGCCACAGCTTCTCTGGGCAACCTGTGCCAGGGCCTCACCACCCTCACCGTAAACAATTTCTTTCTAATATCTAATCTAACCTGCCTTCTTACAGTTTAAAATCATTGACCCTGTACAAAAAGTCTCTCTTCCTCCCTTTTTATAAGCCCCTTTAGGTATTGGAAGGCCACAGGGAGGTCTCCCTGGAGCCTTCTCTTCTTCAGGCTGAACAGCCCCAGCTCTTTCAGCCTGCCTTTGCTCCAGCCCTCTCTTCATCTTTATGGCCCTGTGACTAAATGATTATAGCACGACTACAGCTTGCTCAAGCTAGCTGCATTTAGCACTGTTTAAAAAAAAAATAAATCACATCTGACTTTTTCTTGGAACAAATTTTAGCTTGGTACTCTGACAAGGAACTGAAAAATGCTTCCTCTGGCTTTTTATTGTGAGTCATTCCCATGAGGAAAACTGAAAAACAATCCTGGGGATAATGCAGCCAGAAATACAAAAGTTAAAATATCTAGATTAGTAGCTTTTCTTTATCATTTATTTCCATGTTTTTATTAATGCTTTTATCATAGCACAGTCAATCACAGCACAGTCAACAGACATTCTAAAATAATAAATTTGCTCAGATTAAATTGGCAAGGAAAATCTATGCTTACTGGTTTTGAAAGGGGGTGAACTGTGCCTGTCGGAGAACACAGCTTGCTATCTGAACAGATAGTGAGTGGCACCAGCACTGCAGGCTTCTCTACTGTGCTCCATTAATCTCCAATTCTCTTCTGACAGGTCCTGTCTGTGCATGAGGAGATACTTGCAGCTCTTTGTGCAATTGGTCCCTGACCACTTTCTGAATCTGTCAACAAATCTGCTTGTCAGTTAATGCCAAACACTGCACAGATTCAGCAGTATGGACACTTGCTCGCTCTACAAGTAATTTTGTACAAAATATTCAGCTATATGCTTTAGGCCAGTACACTTAATTTAAAGAAGTGCTGAATGTACTTATTGTAAAGTAGAGATATGATTTATGATGCTGTAGAAAATGTTGGTTTTGTGGATTTGTTTTTTTGTTTTGGTACTTTTGTTTTTGGTCAATGTGTTACATCCTTCTTGTTTGGTAGGTCTGAAAAGGATGTTCAGGTAATTCGGTACATATCAGCATCCTCATATGCATTCTAAAGTATGTTTCATTGTTTTCTCTCTGCATGTTTTCCAGTACTACATGCCTTTGTGATTTTGAATGATGTGTTGGTATTCATGTACATCTTTGTGCTGTCCCATTAGACATGTAATGAGTGATTGAGTTCCATGGGGTGTAAGTCAGTATGTAATTTGGCCTGCAGGCTTATCTAAACAAAAGAATGTACAACAAATAAAGTCAGCATTAGTGCATTTTGAGTGCTGATTGTTTCAAATCAGATACACAGGAAACCAGATGTTGAAGTTTATCTAAAACACTTGCAGCCGAACATGTAACTAAGTGCAGCAGTTATAGTGCACAGCACTTTTTGCATATAGTTAGCAGCATGTTTGCAGCAAATACAAATTTATTCTTATTCCTCAAATTCACTTTTTCAGGTGCTCTTTTATTTCTGTTCTGCTAGCATACCACTGCTTAGTTCATTCTGGTCTGATTCTGCAGGTCTTCTGGGAACAAAATCAAATTCAGGGAGAATATACAAGAATTGCAGTATCAGCCACATCTCTAATGACAATACATTTAGCTGCCTAAAATTAGGTACAGAAAGTGGCTTGGCTTTTTTAACTATATTGGGCACTTGTAGCTCTAAGAGTTGTGTATGGGACAATCTGAGTATCTGGCATTTGCAGATGATTTACAAATGAGTATATAGTAAGGATTTAAAACCCAGCTTCAGATGCTCAGATTTGTAGCAGTTCTACAGAAACCTAAAATAAAAATATCCTTGCCTTATTTAGAGTAGTATACTCCTATCACTACTGTAGCTCCACAATAGAAATGGAGCAAAGCTTTCATAACTTTGTAAAGAAGTGATTCAGTCTATGCTAATGATATGTTTTGCCATATTCTTCAACATGACTCCTCAGGTGAGCTTGAAGGCCATTTGCTCGCTGAGATGTATAATAATAAAAGCGAGGTGAAGAGGTTTTTAAAATCAGGCTAGTGGTCAGGTGCCAGACACTTACGGACCCCTCGGGCTTCTTAAGCTGTTAAGTTTCCATTTTTTTTCTGAGAAAAGTAAGGATTTGGAAATGTTTGGGGCCTAAACTGAGACCAGTTTGCCTCTCTACAGCTTTAAAAATACTGTGAGTATTTTTAAGTGAGGCGATCTGAGTTCTTGCCACAAGAAAGCCAACGAGACATAATACTGTGACCTCACAGGTAGTTCCTCCTTGTGGATAAAGGAAGCATAATCATCCCAAGGATTTTCTGTTGAGGTACAGCCTTACATATGAAATCAAATCACATGTTTACTTCATATATATTTGTTACATTGAGTAGTGCAGCCTGGCATTGTGAAAGAGATTGTTTTGACAGCTTCTGATCTGAAAGTGATGAAAAGACTGAAGGAAAACAGTGGCATTTGCTTTTGGTCTCTTAAACTTGGATGTTTTACCTTGGTTGGTTACAAACAAAACCCCAAGATAAACAGAGAAGGCCTCCCTCTATCCCCCATTTCATCTAGCAGGGTTATATCCTCACCAGCATTCTCTATACATGAATTTTTATACTGCTGTGGACACAGGTTTAGTTTATCCATCTGCTGTGTGAGCTCTCCCCTGACATCAGGTACTTTGTGTTGTTTTCATGTGATTTATTACTTAACAATTTGAGGAGTAGATATTCTTGTTACAGGAACTGTTTTATGTAAAACCATCTCAAATTTACTGTCCTTTTCTATACGTGTGCCTGTGTTTTCTGGGTTTAATTTGCAGATATCTCCTTTTGTTCAAATTTGTTGGTGTTTGTACTCCTGGGAGGAGCAACTGCAGGTACTCTTCTATATAATGTAAGCAACCACTGCAATACTCTGTAGACTTTTATAAAGTAGACTGTGTCGGAATGGTACAAGTCACCTTTCAATTTGCTGAATTGGGTGTTCTTTGTTGTGAAGATGAAAGAAACTTGTAATAAAAAGAGTAGGTTGGAATTATTTGTAAGAGAAGAGACCTGCTTTTTCTGGTTTTCACCTTCTTTATCTGAGAAGAGACTAGTGCAAAATCTTCTGTGTTGTTTTGTCCTGCTTTTAGTAGGCACTGCCTGTTTGAGAATGACCATGGCAATGGGAACGATGTGCAGTCATGTTTTCTGCTGCAGCTGTATACTGGGAACTCTTTTTCCCCATACTGCAAAAACAGGAGTTAGTGTAATATAGATAAGGAATCCAAGGTTAGATAAGGCCAAACATCATTGCTAAAGCATCTCTGGGGTATGTTTTGATGTGTTTATTGTAAGATTTTACCATTTTAGAAACTGACACTGAAATTAGAGGTATATAAAACTTAGCTTTTTTTGACTGTTTCATTTGATTAGTTGAGCTGCTTCAGGGATTACTTGGGTCATGGCATTCACTAGTTTTTGTACTGTAGTAGATACCATTCTGTATTTCCAACTTGCTGCTTCCAACTGTTCATGCTCAGAAAATATTATATATTTTATAATGAAATAGGTACAGCTTCTTCATACTGTGAGTAGTAACACGTGGAAAGAAGGATGGCTCCTCTTCTCTTTCCTCTTCACATTTCCTTGCCTCCCCTGATTACTGTTCTGCAGCACAAACATTAGGCATTAATTCCCATTAAGTCAGTTTGGAAAAAGAAAACTTATTAAAATAAATATAGAGAGGGAAGATATAGTTGTTCTGGCTTGAGCTGCAGCTGTTACAAACTTACCATATGTAGTAGCTGGACCTTACAACTTTGAATTTTATTTCTGGAAAGCATTGCTGCCATGTGTTGAATGTATTTTAATGCTCCGTATTTCCTCAAAGCATTATCATGAATGATTATTATGAATCACTTTATTGCTCAGGAGCTTATGGCTTCTTGACATTAGGAAAAAAAATGTTCCTTTCAGTGTGATTTTGGGAATTTTGATTTATGACTGTACATTGCTGTCTAAATGATTTTTGGAAGGTCACTCAGCGAAAGTGAGTTAACTTCAAAAACCAAGTTGGTTCTAGAAAGAGTGTTTCAGATAAGAAAACTGCTTACAACTAAAACAGTCACTTTCAGGGCAGAAGATATTTAGAAAAGGGAACATATTACATGCATTTACCATTAATATTAATTTATGGACCAAAAAAGTTATTAATGAGTTAATATCTTAAAACAGAAACACATAGAATTAACCAGTGATAAAAGCATGAAGGGATTCAGCATTAAATAACTTTTATTAGGGTTACAAGGATAAAACAGGTATTCTCATGTGGTGGTTTAATACTTCACAAAAGACAAGCCTGAACTTACTCTGAATTACTCTGAGAGCAGTAGGGAATCTTATAATATCACCATCCAAATATTATGAGCTGTGATTTCTACTTTAACTTGCCGTTTAAGAGCAGCACTTCTATGAGTAATTCTTCTTTCTCTTAATACTTGTGTAAACTGGAGACAGGTTTTTGAGAGAAATCTAATCTGTAAGCAAAATGGCAAAAATTGTTCTGTCCACAGATCTGGCCATGGAAATGTGGGAGGGGAGAGAGGAAGCAGTGAGGCAATCTTTGAGACATGACCCAAGTACTGTTTTGTGGACTTAAGTACATATTCAACTGATAAAATGAACTATGGAGTATGTGTTACAGTACTCCTGTTTGTATAAAGTATATAACCCCACCACTGTCTTTCTCCAAATGCTTGTAGGAATGAATTGTATGTGTACTACTTGTGAGATGAGACCATCACAGATAATCACAGCAAGGTCTTCAACAAAGAGAAAACTTGAATGCTTTTGCCTTATATAAAGAGAGAACAGAGCTTTCCCTGCTTGTGTGGGTAACCAAGCACGGGTTGAGGTTGTTAATGATATTCCACATCTCTCAGAAGATCCATGGTCAGAAAAGCAGGTTCCAGGTGCACCCTACAGAAACAGCAGAGCTGCTCAGCACAGCACATGGGAATCAGGAGGAAGTAAAAGTTTCAGAACTCCTTACTGTTGTCCCGCCTTTCTCACAACTACCATGGTGTGGAGCAAGAGCCATTGTGAACACTTCTCAGAAAAGGAATTAGCAAGCCAAATGTAAACAATCAGGGTTTTCTGGTTTTTAAGGGCCCATGTATGCAGATTGCAAACAGCAGTGTGATGAGTCATAGAGAAGCTTGATAAAGCAATATGGACCAAACCTTTAAAATGACCAAATTAAAATAAAATCCTACTACTTATCATGACAAATGCATTGCAGTAATTTTAATATCTCTCCTGTGCTATAAAGAAGGCAAATTGCCATGACTTTAATAGGTCCTTCTCTTACCCTTTCAGCAATTCATTGTGTAGTAGGAATTGATAGCAACACAGAGATTTCCTTTTAATTTGATGTGTCTTATATAGGCACAGTAACTTAACTCTACCTCAGCTGACTCTCAAATTCTGCAAGCTTTCTGTGAGGTAAACCTTGCTGTAGTTGAAGCCAAAACTCCTCCAGTTTAATTTTGCAGATGTGATCATGTGCCATGTTACTTCTTTAGAGACTGGTGCTTCCCAAAGCAATACGTCAGATATTGGATCTATATATTTCAAGACTTTGTCTGGAAATAAGGCTACACTTTTTACAGGAAAAATGTCTTATCAAAACAGGGGCAGAACTGGCAGGTCTCACAAAATAAAGCTCCTCTAGAACAGAAAAAGTGTTTTAGTCATACTGGAAAAGCACAGAAGTTCATGTTCCCAGTGCCAGGAGGTTTTGGTAAACACATAGTTTATTTGTGATTAAATGCAGCAGATGTAAATAAAATAGCCTTGTAACTTAATGTCCTTTAGCAGTGTTCAGTTATGCTATTTGATAATTCTACTCCACAGACTTAATTTTCACTGCTTGCCACTTACATTATGTCTCTTTCAGTAGTAAACTCTGATGTTGTATGGTTTTTAGTATTTAGCTTGAATGCAGTCCAGCCAACGTGTTGTTCTGGAAGTAACTTGAGACTTAAACGATTTTGTTTTATAGGAGGCAAACTTTTTTATTTCTGCCGTATGGGCTGTTTTCTTCTTCTTTCCCATCACAGCCTATGCAAGTGACACTACTTAGGCTTTACTTGTTTTGACACTTACTTTTAGTGATTCCCCCAACACAGACATTTTTTTCCCCCTTGAATTTATATGTGCTATCCTATCCATTTTCTGAGATACTCTGCCAGCTCATAACTGTATCTGCCAAGCTTTCAAGGATTAAAATTTATAGGTAGCTTCCTTAGAGAGTGTTAGTATTACTAGTAATCATGAATAAAATTGCTGTTTTAGATCACACCAACTTAAGCTAGATATCTGTAATAGCCTTTGAATGAAATAAATACAGGAAAAGACATTGAAGATACCTTAAAGCAGAAATGGCTTTTGAATATTGATGCAGCTGAACTCAGAAAGGTGGGTATGTGTTTACTGAACATTTATGGTGAAGTCAGCCCTTGAGGGAAATGAGTTTTGAGGCTAGAGCTTTATAAAACATCAGGTTTTATCAGTTACAGTGGCTGCACTTCTCTGACTTTTGCAGTTTCTGAGCGAACTCCATTAATTGGCCATCATATGTTTTCCAAACCTGTAACGAAATTTGTACCCTTGCTATGCTTGGAACATAAGCTGGGCTGCAGCACAGCTTTGTATCCATCATGGTTATCCTGCGGAGCCAACTGCATTCAAACACCTGAGGCTCTTCCCTGGTTCCTGGGAGAAATTTTGAACCCTCTCGAATATAGTTACCAAACAGCACTTAAGTTTCAAGTATTTTGTTTATATGATCATAGCAATAACATTTTAAAGAATGGTTCTAGGGAAATTAAAGCATATGTATCAAATGGTAGTAAGGAAATGAAAGGATGATTGTTTCTATCGTTATGCCCACGTTGATATTTGTGGATATAGTGAATTTGTGTTCACAGGGAGATAGCCCTCAAGAAGACAAGCCTTTCTTGTAAGAGGCTCCTCTGTGTTTGAACTGTATATATGCACACATGTATTTTTGTATGGCATACATTGTAGCATTGACTTTACTGATTCTGATGAAAAAGAAACATATGTCTCATATTAGAACCATTTTTTAATCTGCTGCACAGTATCTCAAACCATGGGAAGAGCTTGTGTATGTTGTCTCCCTAATGTACTATGATTTCTTTGGATTCTTTGTGCAGTGAAAGGACGTTTAGAAGGGAACACCCAAGACATGTCACGGGCCAACAGTTTCACTGATGACATTGACCTTGTATCGGAAGAGTCTCCCCTGCCAGCTGTATCTGATGTGGCACAGTAAGTGGAACAACAGCTCTATGGTTGATAATATAAATGCTCATGAATAGAAAGGGAGACTTGTCACTAAATAAAAGTATTATTCTTCAGCTGGCTGCACTTGAAGTGATTATGAGTTTGATCTTATTTAACTAAACGTGAACATTTCTACAAAATGCAAGTTTAGCCTCAAGGTTAACAGAAGTATTCAAGACACTTGGAAAAATCAGCACTGTGCACACAGTTCTGTGTCTTTATTGTTTTACATTTTAAGGTAGCTGACAGAGTTCCTGAGATTGAGCTTTGCAGGTAGTTTTATACTTTGTAGAATTCTGCATCAGTTTAAGCTCTAAAGCACTGCTAATATGAATTGATCGGAAACATAAATTAAGTCATCATTTGTAGACACAACCTGAAAATAGAAAGGCTACATTTTGTGTAATATTTTTATAAAGCAGGTGCACTTGTAAGGAAACAGTGTTTCACAAATATGGAAGTAAAATTATTGAGAAGATGCTGCAAGGTCTCTGAATTATCCAGGACAGAAAATGCCCGTTATCAGGTAGTTCACTGCAGTTGCTGAATTGTTGCTTTTACTTAATTTAGCAAATATGTATTTCTTGAAATAAACATGATAGTATCTTCATGCAGGACACCTCCATGTTGTGTTTTGGCAGGATCTTGAGTGACCTTCACTCTTTTGCCCTGTTATGTACATGTCCAGTTTTGGGGATGAGGATTCTAGAGTAAATTTCAAATGTAAAGCAGAGCATTAAAACACAGAGCAAGGCCTGGATGTACCAGAGCATCCAGGTATCATACTAATACTTTATCTCACATGCAGAAACTGGTACAAATGATGATGGTGGGTAGGACTCTTGAGTCAGCTCAAGTAAATATCTGAGACTGAAGGAAAGAAAAGAAACAACAAAAATTGTTGCTTGCCTTCGGATAGGGAAAAATATCAACAATGGTGTTCAGGATGAATTTGAAAGCAGTGATTCCATTGTACAGAATGATTGTTTTCAAGATGTTTTCTTTCACATCATATGGTTACTTTCTGTCCAGGTAACTCATACAGATGATGTGTCTGCTACATCTATAGTAACTATACTCTGCTTTCCTACTGGATATCCTGGTGCTTTTAGTTTCCCAACATGCTATATTTTGGATCTGCTTTCAAATCAGAATTATACATTTTTCTATTCGAATTGGTTGGTTTTGGTTTGGCTTTGTTGTTTTTTTTTAAATCATTGTGGTACAAACACAGGGTTTTACATTAAAAAAAAAAACCTCTAATCTTATTTCTACTGTTCAGTGCATGAAAAAATTGAGGTATTTTATGTTGTTTTGTGTAGTGCACCTTGCAAACTATACCTGCAGTTTTAGTTCATATTAGAGTTTAAATACATTTCTCTCTTGTGGAGAAAGTAAGAAAAAGAATAGCAGAAAGCTCACCAAATGCACAAATGCAAAAAACCCAGCTAAAGTAGGGAGAGATTTAAAGTAATATGCTACATAATTTAAAGTAATATACTATTAAATCATTAATTTCTAATTATGTGGATGTCAACAGAATGATCTTGCAACTGAATATTGCTAAATTAATGATTTTTATGTTCTAAGGCTGTCCATAGATAAAGTATGCATAATTTTTTACTTCTGAATATTTGTAATAAACCTCAAATATACAGAATATATAAGGCCAAAAATTATAGATGTAATATAAAGTTAAAAGGTGCCATGTAAAAATGATATCAAAACATCATATCATGTAGCTTTATGGTTCTAAAGTCAAACTTGTCAGTTTTCACCTCTTTCACTGATCATCTCATTTTCTGTGTGCAGTTCTACCTAGTGGGATTCATTTAAGAGTTGTCCTGATTCTTGAGCAGAAATGTAGTATTTAATTATTCAAAATGTGACCTTCATTGGAGGAGCACAGAGCATGGTATATTTATGGATCTTGGTTTTAAACTGCTAATTCTATTGCAAACAATAAGATATTAACACTGTATTTGCTTGATATGCACCTACATCAACATTAGATATACTTAGCATAATTATTTATCTTGTCTTTTAGCAGAAGTGTAAGCAGGTAAGTCTTTGTGTGTGTTACACTTCCTTTGGTGTGTGAGCTTTCCAAAACAGCATGGCCTTTGCTTTTCACTTAACTGGTGCAACAAATTTTCATCCTAGACTCACAAAAGCAGTCAATTATTAGACAAAAATACTTCCAAGAGTAGAAATCAGCCAAAGGGGTGTGTATATACACACACACACATATATATATATATATGTACACACTGTGAGCCTTCTCAGTTTGCAAAATAAGTGAAAACGTGGCTTTCATGTAGCAGTTAATGACAGTATCCTTTGATGACAACAACAGTTTCATGTGGAGCACTTTGTGGACTCAAGTTTGACTTTGTGAAGCTGCCAAAAGGCAAAGTTTTCTTTGCCTTCAACAAGTCTTATGGGCTAAAAAAGTCAATCCTGCAGTAAACCTTTCTTTCAAAGCTAGTAACTGGTCATTTTTTAAACTTCTAACCTGCTATGTTGATTATTAAATATGAAATGTCAGGTAATGTTTTGAGGGTTTTTTTTTCTATAATGTGAGCAATAGATTCTTCTGAAATCCACTCTGCTGGACCAATGATGGGAGAGATGTTCTCTGGTGACAGTAACCTTTACTTTAGGCCATACTCTCTTCAAAACTCCCTTCATTGTGTGGGAAGGGCACATATTGTCTCAGGAGAAGAGAGTTCCTACCCTTGAGCCCTTAGAGAAACCTCTTTTGCATCAATCTGCACCAGGTCTGCATCAAGTTTAAATAAAGTAAATAAAGTGGTTGCTTGGCAACACCCATTAGGCTGGTTGAAAACTGGTGATGTTACTGTTTAAGAAGATGTCTTGAGTGAAAGCAAACTTGTTCAATGGGTTGCAGCACTTCCCAGGTCTCCATGGTTGATGCATCCAGTATTGGAATTCTGGTGTTAGTGATCCATGCAAGCTTAGAGAAGATATGTTGTCCTAGTAGAAGGTGTCAATAAAATCAAAACCAAATAGCAAGCTTGAAAATTGAACTTAAGAGACCTTTTTGTAGAAACATAACTGCTTTGGATCCTTTAAATAGTTGGGATGATGTTTGTTTCTAGTGATCTGTGCAAAAATGTGAAAAAATGCCACCTCCTGAGCTAGGGAACCAAAGCATCATATTTGACGTAATTCTGTGGCTGTTTGAAGTTCTTGCTGGATATCTCAGGCCCATCCTCTCAGGGGCAAAAATCTCATGGCTGCTGACCTGAGTAGAGCTATGTTGCTTTAATCTGGCTGCTTCTGAGGTGTCCAAAGTTTAATAAGAATTATGTTGTTAGAGATTAATCAAATCTGACGGCTGAAATAAATGTTAATTTCAATCATCTGATGAGTAGTTCTGTTTTTAACAATAAATGCTTAGAGTACCTCATTGCCTGATGTAATTACCCCCCTAATTTTTCAAGTTCTCTGATGAGCAGTCAGAAGGTGATTCCATAGATGCATAGAGAGCCTACAAAATGGTCCTTTGTACTTTGAAATCTAGAAAAAAATAGCAATTGTATTTGTTTCATTGCAGCACAAATTTCTTGGTCCTTAGGGTTAGTCTTCTACATATATTGGTAACTATCTAAATTAAGTTATACATTAGCGAAGGTCTAAGTCTTGAGAATGATAAAAATTAACTTTCCAGCTCTAGGAATAACAGTTTGCTTTTTCTTGCTATCCTTAGCACTTTCTTTATATTACCTGATTTTTTTTTCTTGAGAAACATGTAAAATCAAACAATTTAAAGATGGATCCATCATCCAGCTTAATTCAACATAATGCCTAATGCCACTGCTTTCTCCGTGATGTTATGTCTTGAAACCTCTCTTATTTCCTACTGTATGTACACAAATTTTCTGACAGAAGGACGTAGAAGCTGGTATAGAATTAGGCCTGTTTGTAAAAATAATACCTGACAAATTCCTTTATTTCTGTAACAGATTGCTTACTAATGACAGAGACAAGAGATTACTTCAAATAGCACTTATTAAGCAAGTGGCAAGCTGTGATTTCTGCTTTTTTTTTTTTTTTCAGTCTTGTCTCCTCTCCATTGTTGGCAGGACTGTTTTATCTGTTTGATGAACATATCACGTATATCACAATGTCTTTGAGGAAAAGCACTGATGCTCTTGAGGTCTGTAAAATGAGTAATCTGCAAGCTTGCTAATTCTTTACCTGTGTCCATTAACAACAAAAATGCCAAGAAAACATCTCAAAATTGTGTGTGAATTTGGTAAGCAACAAATAGAAGAAAGGAGGGGAAATACACATCGGAATGGGAGCAGAGACAACAAACCTTAGTGGATTTTTGGTCCTTCTTCCTAGTCCAAACATTTAAGGCCAACTGCTCCCAACAGCTGGCTCAAACCAGAAATTATAGCTGTGCTTTACATGTGTTAAGTTACAGTCTTGGGAGATTCTGTGAGGCTGAGGACTTTGGACTTGGATAGTTTGGAGAAAAGGAGGCTGAGGGGCAATCTCCCTGCTCTCTCAAGCTTCCTTAGGAGGGGAGATGGTGAGAGAGGTGCTGGTCTCTTCTCCCTGGTATCCAGTGACAGGACACATAAGAATGTCTCGAAGGTGCTGTTTGGGCTGGACATGGTGCTGGAGCATGTCCAGAGAAGGCCAATGAAGCTGATGAAATGTCTAGAGTAAGTCATATGAGGAGCAGCTGAGGGAGCTGGAGATGTTTAGCCTGGAGAAAAGGAGATTCACTGTGGATTTTATCACTTTCTACAACTACCTGAAAGGAGGTTGTATCCGGGTGGGGTTGATCTCTTCTCCCAGGTAAGAAGTGACAGGACAAGAGAAAATGACCTCTGCCCAGGGAGATGTTGGAATCACCATCCCTGGAGATGTTCAAGAAACAACTGGATGGTTTAGTTGACAGGTTGGTGTTCAGTCAAAAGTTGGACTCGATCTTGGAGGTCTTTTCC